TTTCATAACTAGATACCTTGGCACAAAGCCAGATCATTCATATAGTGGGTTCCCCCAGTTAATTTCCTCTCCAATTTAAGATTCTCTTTTTAACCAAGATCTAGATAGTTCGTGAATAACATCTATCTTACGACCCTTACAGATATGAAGAAGAAGATGTGGGGGATACCACTTACCAAGATGCCTAGTGTCAGGGAATACATCTGGATCAACATCATCCCCTGCCAAATACTAGTATTAGCGTATAGCATATGTGTTGGTGGGCCATGTAATGGGTTGGTTACCACATAGGTTTAGTTCAGGGTTTATCTCATGTAACGTTGAGCTATTGTATGAGTTGGGAGGAAGCTCCAGTTCACTTTTACCTAGAGTATAACTAGTCGCTTTACTGCTGGTAGGATTGGGCATACGACGTTCTTGTATCTTGATGCCCTGTTGGAGACTACTTACTTATTCGAGCTATCTGTATATCATAACTCCTACCCAGTGATATTACCTATCTGAGACGTCTCCCTTACACCTAGCTGCTCGGCTTCTCTGTCAAAGCTCAGCCCTATAACCATCCAACCATCAGACCATCAGATCATTCAGTCATTAGTGTGTAGCATGACCTGGTCTCCCATCATCCTCCAGCCCTATCTGATACTAATCCTCCAATATTCAAACGCCTTGCGCTTGTGCCTGAGTTGTGCTAGGCTCTAGCCTATGACAAATAGTTGCTTTAATACAAAGGCTTATTTCATTAAAAACTAAAGCCGAATTTGATTTTGATTTTGATTTCATTATCCTGATTTGACACCCTATGGACCAATGCAGGTGTCTACAATCTATAATATTTACACGGGAGGAAACATTCATGGTGAAAAGCCCCCACACCTTTCTACTTGTTGTCTTTAGCTTTCACATATTTTGTTCAGTAAGCGCAGTTACAATATATTGCAATCCATGTAAACTAACTGGATCATCTCTAACCGCCCCAAGCATTACTTGAACTGTTCCTTTCCCTCAGCAGCATTTCAACCGCCTTTGTCATCTGGAATAGCTCTATCCAACCGTGGTTTAGGATCCACTGTGTTATTCTTTTGATGTCTTCGGATTGTTTATCATCGCTTCGTATAACCGATCTTTGACTTTTCTCCAGATCGCAGCTCCGCCATTTGACCTTCGCGGGCAGGACATAATCATATGCTTGGGGTTCTGTTATTGGTAGCCACATGGACAACCTGGACTTAATACATCGGGTACTTTTCTTCTGTGTAAGTACGAGTTGAGCCCCATGTGCTCACTTCGTGTTTGCACTGCCAAACTGCTTTGGGCCTAAATCCTAATTTATGCCCCGACTATCGCTGTGGATCAGCACTCGTCGGCATCTTGCCCGGCTCGGCGGTGGGCAAGACTGAACACCTGTACGTGGTGTCCGCTACGAACTTGGAAGTGAAATATTCTCCCAGAGCCAAGTTCAGTCAAATTTCGCAATACCAAACAAGTTGGCCCACGAGGCAATGATTCAAATTACTCCACCACGTCAAATTTTCACTCCCAACGAAATCGATTCCTACCTAAGCCTCATCAAGTCTACAGGTACGACCTAGCACATCCTCATTCCAATGATCACACTTCTCGTCGACTTTCTCTGGCCTCAGTTGACCACCAAATACATGCCCACGTCGATATTTATACCCGACGGAGGAAGCAAAGCGTGGAGCACAAATCTGGGAGACTGTTCTTTGGGATTGGCGTGAGAGGATTCAGGACAAGTTCACAAGATGATGCGACGGATGAATACAGTCTCGACGGGCGTGGAATTTTGGCAAGGAGTTTTTACAAATTGAGCTTTGTGCGTGCCAAGTCTTCGGTTGCAAGAGTGCAGGCGACACTATAAACACCGCCATGGTTGGATGGTGCGGCGGTACATGGTCTTGGCCGGTCTGCCAAGTAGAGTCTGGATAGCTTGGACACATATCCCACTTGAGACAGTAGATCGCTGGTTCATATTCAGCAAAACACAACCACATTTCTCGCGGTGCTGGTATGCATGGATGACGAAGGCATGCTTGAATAACCAAAGGTTTTGAAATTCCCTTTGGTGGGTACTTACGGAGGAGGACCGACTGTTTGTGTAAGCGAACATACCTCATAGTGGTATTTGCGAATGAAATACAGAGTATGAGTGTCTCTAACGTCAAAAGAGTCATCCAACATGTATACATAGCACCGGTCATGTGTCATAGCTAGATAGCTGAATACACATTAAATGATTTTAAAAAAAAAATTTGCCCGGCTCGGCCGCTTGAGGCTGCAAGTCTTTTTTTTTTTCTTCTTTTGCATCAGATTTTAATTGCGTATGCAGCTATCTAGCTATGACACAATATCAAATAAAAGTACAGAAAAGATGACTCAATTTACAACAGGAGCACTCATGTCTCGGATTTCATTTGCAAGTACCACTGCGAAGTTATGGTGGCTTTTTCTTCACCCCAAGTCAACCCTCATCCGGGAATACCCGCTCAGGGAAACGTCTCAAAAACCCTGAGTTATCCAGACTTGCCTCCGTCATCCATCAACTTTTCTCCGCGCGGAATGTAATCTGAGATGTCTCCTTCCCAAGTGGAGTAGGTGCCCAGGCTACTCAAACTATACCAGAGAACACCACCAGGAGGCGGACCACAACACCTTCCATCGTTGGCTTATGTTGATGTGTCAGCTGCACTCTCGCAAGCGAAGTCTTGGCGCGCACAAAGCTCAATTCGTAAAACTCTTGCTAAAGTTCAGAATTTCACGCCCTTCGAGGTAATTTCCATTCTTTGTATCATCTAGTCAACTTGTCCTGATCCCTCTCACGTCCATCACAGAGAACTGTCTCCCAGATTTGTGCGCCACTCTTTGCTTCCTCCGTCGGGTATAAATATCGACGTGGGCATGTATTTGGTGGTCAACTGAGGCCAGAGAAAGTCGACGAGAAGTGTGATCATTGGAATGAGGATGTGCTAGGTCGTACTTGTAGACTTGATGAGGCTTAAGTAGGAATCGATTTCGTTGGGAGTGAAAGATTGACATGGTCGAGTATTTTGAATCATTGCCTCGTGGGCCAACTTGTTTGGTATTGCGAAATTTGACTGAACTTGGCTCTGGGAGAATATTTCACTCCTAGGTTCGTAGAAGACACCGCGTACAGGTGTTCAGTCTTGTCCTCCAGAGGCTGTAAGTCGGCGTGCGCTGACTAGTCTCCGACATCTTGGCGCTCCTCCGCATGCTGACGGAGAAGACGAGGTCCGCAGCAGCCGGAGGCCCGGTGATACAGGCTGCGTCATGCGATGAGGTAGCGATGCCGACATCGGCTCAAATTCCCGTGAAAATCATGGCTCGCCGTTCATCCATGATCCGGAGTCCCTCGTCTCCGTTATTTCTCCAGCCAACGTCCTGTGGCCGCTGCGGCGCGAGGAGAAGCAGATTTCCCTTCTTCGCAACCAGCATGTGCGTCGATTCTCCACACTAGCAGCGGTGAGGCCCTAGACGCATTGCACCGTTGGGTCCTGGATCAATACGTTGTCGGCTATTACCGTAGAAATGCTCACTAGCTATACCCTCCGATGACACCAACGTGCCTTGTTATCACAATGGCCATAGGTTTGTGAACGCGAATGGCGTGGTCCTAGAGACCTGTCTAGGCCCTGCCCTGGCCTTCCTGCCCAACCCTTCCCCGGACCATCCAGGCAGCAGGGCCCTATGAGAATCATACAGAGATTTACCGACGTCCGCGAGAGGATTGCTAGCCAAGCCAGAGCGCGATCATTGCTGCTGCTTGACATGGATCGGACCGTCTTGAGCACCAGATGTTCCAGGGTTAGCGCCATGGATGCATAGATATAAAGATTAACGAGAATGGACGCGTCGCTGGGACAACGAGAGAGACGTGTCACTGAGAGATTAATTACCAGACTGTTCTGGCAGCTCACATGGATGGAAAACGGGTTATTATCGCAAGTTTAGATACAAAGGCAATCCAAAGGCACAATCGTCCTCATGACTCACCCCTCTGACCCACATTCCTCGGTACTTTCTTTGTTTGCACGAAACTCCCTACTTTTATTCTCTCATCTTCCATCTTCTTCCTACTCTCTAGATTCCATTTCTGCGAGATTCGATCGTTGAAATAATCAACGTTATCCCCAGCACTTAGCGCTCGCTAGAAACACCGGAACATTACAGCCATCAGGTATTTTTCCATTACACTGCGGACGTACTGTACGAAACTCTCCACTCTTAATTGTCACCACCTACTGAACTCCTGAAATAAAGAGAGGATATCAAAAGGGTTGAGAAACTGACGATGCGAGAAGACATATTAAGGACTCATTCGTCCGCTGTGAATATCTTGTCTTCCTCATCAAATGCAAAATCTATGCTCACCAGCAGCTGGTCGGCAGTATATTTCTTTCCTTTGCTCGCACTAGCCATTCAGCGTACCATATACTTCGCCGCCACAGTTCTGCTATATCTTCGCTCGATCACATCGTACTGCTGTCTCATACACCGATGCGTTTATCTTTTGACCCAATTACAACACATATTCAATCAATCTCGTCGCTGTGAAGATCAAACTACTCGCCGTACTCTGATCCGCACTGTCCAACGTTCACCGTCACACAATAATGTCTCATCATTCCAGCACTACATATACCATTCGATAACACACTCCCTAAATCAGCTCCGGAAGAAAGTATTTTTCGAATTCATGTGCTTCATCTTGGGGACGGGAAACGGACTGTTTCTCCTTCTATTCTGGCCCGGGTGGCTGATTCTTGGGGGTGCTATTTGGTCCATTTTATGGCTCTTTGCTTAAGTAATCACGATCTTCTAGTTTACTCAAACTCCGACGAAGCCACCTTGGAGGCAAGACTCCAACGAGTATATTGTATTTTTTCCTTGGGGGATAATTGAATAAAAGTCCACAGCGCCACTTTCTCACGCCAAACACGGCCCTCTTCACGTATCTCTTGTCATGGGAAGAAGAATGTATTCCCACCGAGGTCGCGCTTAACTTCCTTCTGGTAATCCTTTTCCGGGTCATATTCCTGCCAAACGCTTGCGGGAAAGATATGCTTGTTACGCTCGTACCATCTACGATCGACAACTTTTGTAAATGTCGGATCATCTCCCTGACCCTCTAGTTCGGTTACGGGGGGGACTTGAGAAGGAGATTTGGCTGGCTTGAGCGGTTGAGTGAGAGGATTAAAATCGCTGCTGGACGGTGCTGGGTTGGGAAGATATTTTCCAGCCGGTGGTTCTGAGCTGTAGCCAAATAAGAGCCGGTTATTGGGTCCAAGGATATGATTAATAATGAAATAATAAAACTCGTAGTGCTGAGTCTATAATTAGTCGCCGCTAGTGCTATCAAAATCTGTACACTTTTACTCACGTGTGGTATTATAAGATCTCCGCGAACGAGCATTAAATCATCCACACCAATGCGAGCCCACTCACGTTTACTGTTGACCTTTTCAGCGACCTTGAGCTCTGCACCCGCTTTGCGACTCCGGTCAAGGAAGACCCAAACGTAATCGCTCTTGCGCACGCGGCAGACTCCGCCCGGTATATTAGTGCCGTCGTAGAAGACAAAAGGGATGGCGATCTCGGTATTCTTAATGGCGTCTTGTAGGAGTAAAAACTCTTTGCGAAGGTACTCGCGCATCTGGGCCTCACGTTGCCGAGCTGCCTTTGTGAGGGCTTTGGGGGCATGGGCTACGCTGGAATTCACAGACACTTTGGCCTTTCGCGATGGCATCGGCGCCTTCGAAATGCAGCCTTCCGCTTCGTCCTGCTCTTCTTCGTGGTTGCTTTGGAAGCTGAGCTGTATTTGGCTCTGTTTGCGCTTTTTTCCAGCCTGCTGGCTGCTCGGCAGCCCTGCGTTCTCGAGCTTCGCCGCACTGTAGGTAGAGGGTGAGCGATCTATCAGGCTGTGTATAAGCTCTTCTACCGAGCATGTACGTACCTGTCAAGTTTCCGTTGAGGGAGGAGAGGCGCGAGCAGCGCTGCCTGTGCATCACGTTCCTTGGTCTCTATGGCCTCGGCTCGCCGCTGTCGAAACTCAGAGAGTGCGACGAGCCCCTCGGTTTGCTTGCGCAATAGATCCTCAGCTGTATCATTCTGACGGGAAAATTGGACGGCTGTAGCGCCGGTGCTCGTGCTGCCAGACGACATAAGTTCAGGATGTTTGCTGGTAGCACGTTTAGGGTGGGGCAGCAAACCCACAGCTGAACTCATACTCGCCTATTACCTAAAGTCACATGCTCTGTCTCGTGAACTGACAAGCCTGTGGGTCCCGTGTCCCGTGACTTAGGGTCGCCCACATTCTTGAACCTATCACTTTTAACCAGAGCACAGACAGAGATAAGAAACGATATGCTTTATTAAAAATCTTACTTCTAGTAATTGTTTGTTTGTTTGTGTGTGTTTTATTGTACTACTTGGGTCTATAACTATCTAGCACATTGGGCTCCTCTCTGACCCAGGCCACACCTTGTACAGTGCTCCTATCCTCTTTTGTTACTTGAAAGATCAATGATATATTCCCCTTGATGAATATCCATTCAGCTCAGTGTTTACCCGTGGAATTCAGCCACCTTTCCCACGGAACCTTCTACCCAAAAAAAATAAAAATGGTAGCAATGGAAACTGCGTGCGCGGGAAAAAGTCTCAAAAAACCTGCAGCCCCAGCCAGGCGAGGCCTAGACACCGGGACCACATGAGATGCGCATATTCATCTATATCTCCCTTCTTTGTAACAGTCGAGGTCGACTTGATCCAATCCACCATCTCCGTATCGGGTGCTGGATACGCTCCGGAAACTCATCGGATGGCTTTTCCTCCATGATCAAGGGTTGGTGATGAGTAGGGCTCCGACCCTACCATCTGATCTGATCGTGGTTAGCTTCATGATAATGGTGATAGGTATTAAAGTTCTGGGGGATGTGTTGAGAGATGAAGATGGTACAGAACGCGAAAGCCATTTGGAATGCCCGACGAAGTGAGGATGAAGGTGTTACTCAATCTCGGCTCTGCAGACTCTACAGTGAGAGCTGGAGGTTCGTAGGGGATACCACTGACAGGTGTTGAGAAAAGTCCCCCCCTATTGAAAAATAGTTTTATAGACAGAGAAGATTTACCACACAGATATACATGTACGGTAAGAGCCTATTGATATTGGTATCAAAGATTCAGAAGCATTCATATTGAGGACACGACTGAATATGAACTGATATCTTAGACGTAACGGACTGACCAAACCTTTTTTTAGACGTGGCGCGGGTAGATGAACTGGAGGGTAGAGACTGAACACCTATACGCGATGGCTTCTAGGAACCTGGGAATTAAATATTCTCCTAGAGCCAAGTTCATTAAAGTTTTGCAATAACAAAGACGTTGGCCCAAAGGGCAATGATTCAAGATACTCCAACATGTCAACCTTTTACTCATAGCAAGATCGATTCCTACTGAAGTCGAATCAAGTCTGCAAGTACGACCTAGTATATCGTTGTATCAATAACCTCATCTCTCCTCGACCATTCTCAGGGCTCGGCTGGCCACTAAATATATGCCCACCGCAGTACAAATACCTGTAGGAGTATAAAAATTGACGCACACAAATTTAGAAGGTAGCTCTTTGGGATGGGCGTCAGAGGGACCTTGACAAGTTTACAAGATGATGCAAAGGAAGGATACAAACTCGACGGTCATGAGATTGTGAATTTTGGCGAGGAGATTAACATGCTGAAGTGTATTATGCGCACTGATACTTCGACTGCAAGAGTGCAGCGGATATTGTAAATACAATCTATTCGAGTTTATTCAATGTCGATTTAGTATACCAGTGTCTGTTATTACATACTATTGTGATTACGAGGAGGGGAATTGCATACAAACAGTGGCTTTATCAATGTGTGCTTGACAATATTATGAAGTGGACGATGATAAGTGGACGATGATATGTGTTAGATTTATTAGATTCGTTTCATGATGATTGCTATATATAGGAAGGAGAATACTCCTATTTATATCTAAAGCTCATCTATCTAATTGCTAGTAGAATATTCCATCTTGTAATGTAAGATATTCTATCATTTGCTACAGAATAGTTTACATTCTTGTTCAAACCATCCACATGCAACTATTATGATGTCACTACACCAACCACATCTTGTATAGATCTCTATATCACCTAATACAACTTGTCTAATTGGCTGAGTGAAATCACATTATGACACAAACACGGGAAAAATATTCATGAGATCGCTTAATGAGAGGCTGCAATGTCTTTATATATCTACGTATTTACCGCCATAATCACTACATTCGCTAACCATTCTATATACACATAGTTCATTATCCTGATTTGGCGCCTTGAGGTCCATACAGGTTTTATCAGAAGATATGTACTTTAAGTAGGATGACTCAATTTGACGATTAGAACACTCACACTCAGATTTCATTTGCAGATACCACTCGAGATTAACCCTTACGGCGTATAATCTCTTCCGTGCACAACCACCACAGGGAAAATCGTGAAAACTTATGGCTATCCAAGTGTGCTTTCATCATCCTACAAGTACAACAACACCGCGAGAGAGGGTGGTGTGTTAGTTTTACAGGATTTGAACCAACTTTCTCCTGTCTCGAACGAGGTAGGTGTTCAATCTACCCTGATTCTCATTGGGATAGGGGCCTGGACGTGTACCACTACATTATCTGAGCTAAAAACAGAGGCCCATGCAGGAATCGAACCAGCATCTCCGGAATTTGAAATCCGTCAGAATCCGACGTGCTGACCATTACACCAATCGGCCTTATCTACCGGCGATTCAATTAACAGTATTAATCAAGAGCCCGTGAATACCTAGTGTAGAAGCCTATAAAACAAACGAACCAGGTTAGGAGCTGCCGATAAGATACTAATCCAAACAAAATCCAACCATGTAAAGTGTCATGGTTAGGTTTAGTTTATTCATCAATGTGCTAGATAAAGTAACTACCGATGCACTCCTACTGGAGCTAAAACACAGGTGGGGCCGGGCAGTATCAGGTTAACTACCGTAAAGTACAGGTGCCTCGTCCCACTTAAATGACCGGACCACCTCAGACTTCACCCATGTGTTGAATCATGTCAAGCCCAACCGTCCAGAGAAACCTCTTTTGATGCGCCGAAGCGCAAATTCCTCTTCAGCCTCGACTACCACGCGCTCGAGCCCTTAACATCCTCATTGTCTCCGAAATATTTATGTAGTCCCAGATCTCATCGTTTCTTTAGCCTTGCACCTTCATATCGTACTGTTAAGTTGTTGTCGTCATTGGAGATTTGTGTGATCCCCTCGGTGTATCTTCCCTTTAATTACTCCTTTGTACATGTCCTGTCTCCATCATGAATTTCCTCATCAGGGCGTGTGTAGGTAGGTAATATTACGAGTATGGAGGTGGGTCTTTTTTTTGCATCAGATTTTAATTGCGTATGCAGCTATCTAGCTATGACACAATATCAAATAAAAGTACAGAAAAGATGATTCAACGTAAAGGAAGAGCACTCATGCCTCGGATTTCATTTGCAAGTACCACTGCGAAGTTATGGTGGCTTTTTCTTCACCCCAAGTCAACCCTCATCCGGGAATACCCGCTCAGGGAAACGTCTCAAAAACCCTGAATTATCCAGACATGCCTCCGTCATCCATCAAATTTTCTCCGCGCGGAATGTAATCTGAGATGTCTCCTTCCCAAGTGGAGTAGGTGCCCAGGCTACTCAAACTATACCAGAGAACACCACCAGGAGGCGGACCACAACACCTTCCATCGTTGGCTTATGTTTATAGTGTCAGCTGCACTCTCGCAAGCGAAGTCTTGGCGCGCACAAAGCTCAATTCGTAAAACTCTTGCTAAAATTCAGAATTTCACGCCCTTCGAGGTAATATCCATTCTTTGTATCATCTAGTCAACTTGTCCTGATCCCTCTCACGTCCATCACAGAGAACTGTCTCCCAGATTTGTGCGCCACGCTTTGCTTCCTCCGTCGGGTATAAATATCGACGTGGGCATGTATTTGGTGGTCAACTGAGGCCAGAGAAAGTCGACGAGAAGTGTGATCATTGGAATGAGGATGTGCTAGGTCGTACTTGTAGACTTGATGAGGCTTAAGTAGGAATCGATTTCGTTGGGAGTGAAAATTTGACGTGGTGGAGTAATTTGAATCATTGCCTCGTGGGCCAACTTGTTTGGTATTGCGAAATTTGACTGAACTTGGCTCTGGGAGAATATTTCACTTCCAGGTTCGTAGAGGACACCACGTACAGGTGTTCAGTCTTGCCCTCCATGGAGATGGGTCGCAGGTGTGAGATCGGCTGAGATATGGATCGTCGCAAATATATAAGGAATTTGAGGGATATCGGATGTTTGGATACGACTCCCAGACAGACCTAGGCTTATTCGTGAATCGTATGTTAGTGGTGATGAGTTTTTGTTCAACTTTGTTTCGGCTATGAAATCTCCGCCGACTGGTTTTCGACCAAAATTTCGAGTGCAAATCCTTCAAGTCAGAGATCCATCAAATTGAATTCACTTCACCCTTTTTCGTGACTGAATCTCGGCTCTTTGGGAATGTTTTACTCTCAGGTTCGTAGAGGGCACCACTGACAGGTGTTCAGCCTTCGTCCTCCAGAACCCTCTTTTGAAGCGGAGAAGCGCAGAATCCTCCTCGGTGAGGTTTCTGGGCGCGCGTTGTGTACCTAGTAGATGGTGGGTGTATGTGTAGGAATGAAATGTTATCGCCTGGTATCTCGTGGCTCCTAACTACAATGGATCTTGTGTAGAGATTGAGACTAATACGTGAATTCTGTATCCCTAACGTAAGATATCTATGCGCTTATATAAATCAGTGATCTATTACCCCTCAGCTCCAGTGAGATCTGCTCTTGTGACTGTGCGATCTGATCGTGTGAGATCCTAAGGCACTGGCATTTTGTCTATGTGCCGTACATACAAAATCTGATAAGCCCGTGACAATGTAGATCTTTTCAGGATCTACATCAGCCTCGGCCACCACGCGCCCAAGCCCATGACACCTTGGCTATCAGTAACGTTTTCCTCCCATTCAATCCCAGCTTTGGCTGGAGCGGTCGGTCGTGAAGCAGGGCTCCAAGTCTTCACTCAATGGCATTCCT